CAAAATTGGCACAGGCTTAGATACTTATTTTTGCACTGACCAATTTTATTAGTCTATTCCTCTCTCCCAACTCATATAACTCTTTTACTAATAGTGAAGAAACCCTTCATTTAAAGTAACCGTAGCAATACAAGAAATAAAAATACTTTGTCAAAGATATATAAAGAAAAGTTTGTATTTGATTATTTACTTTATATAAAGTGCAAACTTTACTCATATAAATAATTAAAAGTATATAATAATTAATTATAAGATAATAATCAAAAATATTATTATCAAAAACTTATTTTTAATTTAATTCTAATAATTATGATATATGTTATTTTTATATATATTCAAACTATAATTTAACAGATATATAAATTTATATTTGTTAGTTTATTGGTTCAATATTTATTTATTTATTTATTTATTTACTTATTTATTTATTTATTTGTTTGTTTGCTCATTTTACATGATTAGATTCAATAAAATATAAGATATTTATAATTCAATAATATTAAGTATAAATAATTCAGTAAAATATTTGATCAAAATTCACTATATAATAGTATTACAGGTTAATTCTATATGATTTTAATATTATTCATTTTGATAAACTAATCATAATTTGAAAATTAAATAATTAATCATTTTTTTCAGATATTTATTTGGATTCAAAATATAATTGGAGAACAATAATCTATACTAAATGAAAATAATATATTTATATTATTTTTACTTCACTCTCTCTTCCAAATAAAGTCACCTTGTAAAATTATCACCTTGTAAAATCATTATTTTGTAAAATTGTTGCCTTGTAAAATTATCACTTTATATACTTATAAACAAAAAAATATAATGATAATTTGCAAATTTACATTTATAAAGATCATGTAGTTCAGATTAGATTGCATTCTAATCTATTACCTTCTTCTTAATTCACTACATGGCTTTAATAGTTCCTTATATTTGGTAATATAGTCATTAATTCAGAATATTTTTATTAATAATGATCCATTTTTCCTTTTCCGTCACTGAGTGTTCAGTTTCTACATATCAAGTGCCATTTAAATAAGTATAAGAACATTATGGTATACTTTTGAAAGCACCAAAAATTATTGGTGCTTTATATTTATTATATAATTTTCTAACCCATCTGTATCAAGATTATTTGTGAAAAATTCAATAAAACTCTCTTCATTCATCTTCAACACGATTAGTCTGTTGATTACAACATGCTTGTGAATAAATAAAAAAATGTCCACGTTAGAAGATTCTTTTCTTATGCAATTTATTTCCACTCTCTACTTAACACACTTGTTTATAGTATAGTGTGTGATGAAGTCAGTACGTCCACTTAGGATGATTATCGGTACTAGTTCGACTCAGTAAGATTCTTCAAAATACAATCCTTATTAATAAACTTCAAGCATCTCATTCCCATGGCAACTAGCGCTTTGGTGACAATCTTTGAATATTTATTACTTCAATATTGATTATCAGTTTATCCTTTCAGACCAACTCCCTCTTCTTCCTCACATTTGCTATTCACATCGATACTTTCTTTATTATCTTCACTGCTAAGAAGACTGCAACTATTATGTTTTGATATTTTTCATAGGAATGAAAATAATTTATGATGCAGTATTGTACAATGAGTAAAAAAAGTAACCAATTCTTAAATATACTGGTCGAACAGGGTTGTTTTCACCTGGGCGAAATTCGATGGCAAAAATATGGTTAAATTTTTTCAAAAAAGTCGCAATTCCATACATATTTACCTGTACTTTAGACCAGATAAAATCAGATGTTATAAAATCATGGTCAAAATTACGGTCAATTACATGTATTTGGTGATTATTAATACGTAGTTGTTATGGTTACACTGCAATTTGAAGTCGATAAGAGTACTGGCCTTTGTAACCTTTACACGTTTAGTAAGCTTCCGGATTGATCATGAATATATATCCAAAACTGCACGCTGAGTATTTTTTCTTAGTAATAAAAACTTGATTTGTCAATTTTTTTCGCACGAAAACATTTGGATCGGCGATCTAGAATGATTAGTTAATCGTGAATTTCTTGTCCTCCGATTGGTTAGCACATTTTTTTTATCTGGTCTAAAGTACAGGTAAATATATGTGTGGAATTGCAACTTTTTGAAAAAATTAACACATATTTTTGCCTTTGGATTCATCAGTATCAAAACCACGATATTACCCATATTTCACACGAATTTTGACCAGTGAAAGCAACACTGTTCGACCAGTGTATGGTGTCACGTTAGGTATCCTCATGTAATATGCCTTCCTCCATACAATATCCAGGGGGTGCAAATCAAGTTAAATGTGCGTGAAATGTAAGAGATCCAGGATCTCTTGTATGGAAAATTAAAGTACAAATTAATGACATTAGCGATACATCCGAACATGGCGTATCGGATCTTATTGTTACGATGCATAGATTCACGAAGAAATATTCTGATAAATCAAACAAATCTATTAATAACATAAAAGGAACGACTAATACCCCAATATACATGAGGAAGAAACTGATGAGATGGGTGAAAAGAGAAACAAGATGAATTATTTGGCACCAATATAAAAGTGATTTGTTGCAGTGAAGAAAAAACAGCACTTTTTAATACAAGAAATTCTTAGATAGCTTTAGTTTTAAAAGCTTGGTTTTTATTAGATACATATTTCATACCAAAAACAATTTGCATCAAATTCAAGTGTATCAGTAGGCGCTATCAGTGAAGAATTAATTTTATATTTACAGTCAAATCTCATTATAAGGGAAATTCTTATTTAACGAAAAACAAATATATAGAAACCTTGCTATATTGAAAAATTACTCAAAAAACTGTTTCACTATAACAAGTTTTGGTTAAATTAAATAGTGGGTACGACTGGGATAAGGGACTTGCTGAGAGATTAGTGCTGGCTTTAGCATACCAATACATGTACTCAGTTTTTATATTATAAACATGCCATTAAGAATGAATTTTAGTTTGTTCCATTAGGATTACACGGTCAACCCCCGTAACCGAAACAGTTATAGTAAACCTGTCTCGATAACTGGATTTACTAAATACGTAAATTGAATTTTAACTTTCTGACCATTTCGGTGTAAGGGGTGACTGTGTATTATCATAAACTTATCGTTTTTATTATAAAGACAATATTTGTATTCATTTATTGTTTTCTCAGTCTACAAGCTATCTTTATACGTAATGTTGGCATAATTTTTTTGAGTATATTTTTTTAATTTGTGTGACTTTCATCTAAACACAGAGAATATCTCTTTCGATACCCTTTGTTTGCTAAAGAAAAAGAACCGGTTCTGTATGATTTCACTTAGTAACGTAGCACAGTTATAAAAAGTTGTGTTCTGGACTGGCTAAATGATGATGATAACACAAAGGTGTAGGTGTAAACGTGTCAGCATGCACGTGGGTAACATCGCTTTACGTATGTAGTGTACAATAAATCCTCAACTTGATTTTTAGTACATGTATCAGGTTTGTACATTTACGTATACCTGTAGTACCTATGCAAATATGGGAATCTTCATCATTCTTTAACGTTAACGTTAATATTAATATTTAATAACTTGGAAACAAACGCAAAATACACGTAAACTTTATGATCTACGTGCGACATTGATCAGATAAATTTCTCATTCGACGTTATCGTATAACGATAATAACAAAATTTATTTATGTTTATTGCCGTTATTGTTTTTTTAATTGTCGGAATAATATAATTCACGAACGTTCCATCTAGTACGTGCATATGAGTGCGCATAAAACTCGATACGTAATATAACAGGCCACGATAATTGCTATATATAGTTCAGAATTTTGCTGTCCTTTCACAAAAATTTCCTCTTTTACGAGTAAATAATTATAGCTTTTTCATTCGTTTATCAAAGGCTACGATAAACGCTTACTAAGTCTGTGAAATTACATAATTTAATCCGAAAGTTGTACGATAAAAAAAAGGCTTGTGCATACCCGCATAAATGAAGATTCAAAGTATATATAGATATATTTACCTTTATAACGAAAAAAAATACTTGTTAATTGAAATTATAATTTCATTAAAAGACATCATTATATATACATACTCTTACATATACTACGTACATAACGCCAACAACATTACTAAACATAAAATTACATGGGCAATATACTAAGTAGAACACTGGGTTGCAGAGAATTTTTACCTTACATACCAGAAAAAGATTCAGAAGTAGATAGGTTTCAAATAGCTCATCATTTTATCAGAGAGATATGGGACAGAAATTATTCGTCACCTTTACACAGCGAATTAGAACGTGGGATTAAAGTTTTGGACATCGGGTATGTAATAATTTCACTTATTAATATAATACAATGGTTTAAACAAAATTATCGTTTAAATCACTCATAGATGTGGTCCAGGTACATGGGTATGCGATATGGCATCAGACTACCGAAAATCCGAGATAACCGGTATAGATAAACGATCAATTTTTCCTACTGAAAAACCATTCAACGTCAACTTTCGAACAGGGGATATTTTGAAAGGACTGGACTTCCCCGCTGGATCTTTTCATTTTATTCATATTCGTTTTATGGGAATATGGTTTACGAGACCGCAATATGAAGAGATTATTATTCCAGAATTATTGAGGCTGTTGGTGCCGGGTGGGTGGTTGGAGGTAAACTAGATTCTTAGTTTGCTATTGGTTTCGTACTGTTGGTTTTATATTGATTTGTTGAGAATAATAAAATAATAGCTAGTGGAAAATGAAATAAAGGTATATCATCCAGGAGCATTGATGGACAGATATATGACAACACGTAAGAATTTGCTTTTTAAATAACAATTAAATTCATAAAAGTGTTTGCTTGACCTCACCTTTTTTGAATGCCAAAAAATAACAATTAAATTCATAATACAGTTCATAATAAATTAGTAAACACAGACCGCGATCCATTTTTTTTTGATACCGGAATTGGTGACTGTCTTCGCTCCACTGGACAACTCGAAAATATCAAACACGATAAAAAAGCACTCCCTTTTGGCATTTGGGATCGACGATACGGAAAAGTCGGTTTACAAACAATTTTGCCTGCGATAATTGGTATGCTGGTTACGTGCTCGGAAATCACCAATAGACAGGTCGGAGGGGTGATGAGAGAACTGACAGCCGAGGCTAATGTTAATTATTCGTTTATTTATAATCATCGTATTTATGCACAGAAAATACAAAGGCCAGATGCAAGTGGGTGATAGCAGTATGTTATTGTCGTCGCCTTTAGCATAATCAATTAATGGAGCTGTAATCGGAAATTTATAATTCAAATTCGAATTATGACGATAGTGATGGTTTAAAACTTTACAAAAGAACAGAAAACGGTTTTGTATTTTCAATATAAGGAATTTAAGGATTTTTCTTAGTTTACGACGACTTATAGTAATTGAAATTTTAGATTTTATAAATGCTATACGTAGTAAGAACTTTGATACAGTTAGCGACTATCGCCAACTCTTTCGTCACCCTTTCAATCTGTTTATCGGTGATTTCCAAGAACGTAATCGAAGACAAAGTTACTTGTAGTGTTATTCGCCATATCGTTGGTCCCAATTGCCAACAGGAATTGATCTTTACATTTTTGAGTTATCATCAATTCCGTTTAAATCGCGGTCTGCTTCTGCTGATTTGGTTTGAACTGTATTAAAAATTTTCTATTTTTTGGCATTTATATACGTGTAATAGGTATAAACAATTACCCTGCCTGCTTATAATATATAAACCACAATACAGAACAAATAGCAAAATAAAAAATTAGTTTACTTTCAATAATTCTGGTATAACAATCCTTCATATTGCTCTTTCGCGAACCATATTCGCACAAAACGAATATGAATAAAATGAAAAAGACTTATCGGGGGAATCCCGTCCATTTAAAATACTCGCTGTTCAAATGTTGACGTTGAATATTTTTTGGTAGGAAAAATGAACCGTTTATCTATACCGATACCACATAATTTTGTTTAAATCATTGTATACGTACATTAATCAATAAGATTATTACATGTACATACCTGATGTCCAAAACTTTAATTCCACGTTCTAATTCTTTTGCGCTGACTACGTAAATGATGAATTATTTGAAGCCTATCTACTTTCTATTATGTAAGGCAAAATTATTCACCGTTAATCGGTGCATATCATTTAGAGAACAATGCTTCAATCATTGCCTCTAGCTTGGCCATTCCGAAGCAAACAGTACGTGATACAATCAACCGATTTAAGCAAATAGGTTCTCCACATCCTGTAAACGTCCTGGACGACCAAAAATTTTGTCGGAACGTGATAAACGAAATTTAAAATGTATTGTAAAAAAGATCGCACGGCACCACTTCATAAATTATTAATCAGCTAAACGCACTTACCAAAACCTCAATACACTTTAATACTACTCGTAATTACATGAAATTATTATCATTTGAATCCATTATGCAATTCATAAACTTCTTTTAACTCCTCGACATAAAAAAATCATTTACAATAGTACAAAGAAAAAAAATTTGAATACTGAATGGCACCAAATTGTATGGTCAGATGAGTCACAGTTTTCTCTTTTTCACTCAGATAGACATACAAGAGTATGGCAAAAATCCGAAAAACATTTGAAAGTTGTGTAGTTCCAACAGTAAGGTACAGACAAACCCTCTAAATGCACCCCCTTGGGACCATAGTAAAGCGAAAATATATAGAGCTCTTATGAGCTGGGACCTAGTCATGCTGTGCATTTAGAGAGGGTGTGCAATTATAGAGGGTGCATTTAGGGAGGTTTTTCTGTATGATGGATTATCAATTATGTTTTGGATGTAGGATGGAATTGGACCTTTGGTAGAGGCTAATAATAATTTTGATTCTGATGGATATGTTAACATTTTGGCAAAAAATTTAATTTCTTGGATGAATAATAATTCCTACAACAAGATGGCACTTCTGTCATACTTCGCATTATGTTAGTTGGTGGATGCAAACTCATAATATCCCGTGTATGGAATGGGTTGCCCAAAGTCCTGATTTAAATCCAATTGAGCATATGTGGGACCATTTAGATCATCAACTTAGAAAAAGAGAGCCTCTTCCAATTTCCAAAAAGGATTTAATCGATGCATTGATGGAAGGATGGCAAAAAGTGCCTTTGGATGTTGTACGCAATTTAATTTCCAGTATGTCGTAACGAATTATGGTAGTTATCAATGCTAAAGGATCACATACACAATATTAGATTTTTAATATTTTTTTAGATAAATATTATTCTATAGCTTTTTTTCTTTCTAACCACAGACAAATTCCCCATCTATAAGTGCACACCCTTTCTAAATGCACAGCATGACTGGGTCTCAGCTTATAAGAGCTCTATATATTTTGCCCTCTATAATGCACACACTCTCTAAATGCACATTTTACTATGGTTCCAAGGGGGGATGCATTTAGAGGAGTTGTCTATATATACAGACAAATTTCCCTAAATGCATCCTCCCCTTGGAATCATAATAAAGCATGCATTTAGAGAGGGTGTGCATTTATAGAAAGCAAAATATATAGAGCTTTTATGAGCTGGGATCCAGTTATGCTGTGCATTTAGAGAGCACTTATATAGAGTATATTTAGAAGAATTTGTCTATATTTTAGTAAAATATAAATTTAAATAAAAAATATAGATATTTTTCAAAGTCAAAAAATTTTTAATAATACATGATAATTGTAGTTCAATATATTGGTTATATAAAAATAATAATTCATAATTACAGTATTTTTGGATTAGATATATAAATTATATAATATTTTCTTATTATACAAATCAGATTTTTTAATTTTATATGCCAAATTTTTAATATATAATATAAAAGATCTTAATTTTATAATTATATTAATAATCTAATATTATATTTTTGAAATTAACCAATAAATAATAAAAATTTTAATTATATATAATATAAAATTTAATTTATATTTCAAATAAATTGATAAAAATATTAAAATAATCACAATTTTTAATTTTTAATTACTAATATTATTATTTTTATATAATTTTATAAATTTTAATTATTATTACAGGTTTGTTTACTAATCATAAAATTAGCTTACAAACAAGAATCTGGATTGAAAGAGAGTATAAACTGATAAAGAAAATATTAAGAAAAAAGAGGAGTATCTAAAGCCTATATCAATTTCTACAAAAATTATGTTTACTTAAAAATATGAGAGAGTTATGGGAAAGTAAAGATCAAAGAGGAAAGAGTATATAAATAAATAACAAAGAGAATTTAAAGAGTAATTTTATACTTGTATTAAGCTTTCTAGAACTAAGATAATATGATTAATAATAATAACAAAGATTTTTTTACTTTGTTCTTCTCACAAGTAAGGAATATTTATTAACAATCAAAAATTCAAATAACAAAAAGTAAAATATTTATAATCCAATTTTGATAATTCTAATATAGTCATTTGTTTAGCACAATATGATATAAAGCTCAATAATTCAATAATAGTAATTTGTTTAGCACAATATGATTTAAAGTCCAAAGTCAATAACAGTAATTTGTTTAGCACAATATGATATAAAGCTATCAGTAATTTGATAGGTTCAATATGATATAAGATTATTTATACACAAGATTTAAAGTATATAAAGAAAATATAAAAGACTGAAAGAATTTGAAAGAAGATTTTTGTTAAGAGAGATTTTTATTTTTAGTTACAATATATTAAGTTAAGACTCAGATAGCACCATTTCTATTTATACATTTTTTGAAATTACAAAAAGTGAAATAAATAATTATAAAAATATATAAAAGTAAAATAACTAATTATAAAGTGAAAAGTAAAAGTAAAATAATAAAAGTAAAAAATAAAAAATGAAATAATAAAAAGTGAAATAATATATATAAAAATGAAAATAAAAAGTGAAGTAAAAAATAAAAAGTGAAATAACTAAAATAATACTAGAAAATTTTATCATTATATGAATATTTTTAGAATTTCATGTTTTTTGATTATTTTTGAATTTGCAATTTTTATGTTACTACTGTAATATTATATAACATGCTTTTTATATTATTTTAATAAATATTATCAATTTGTTAATTATTTAATTATTTTATAATTATTAGAAAATTTAAACTTAAAAAAATAATAAAAATTAAAAAATAAAACTATACATTATCTTATTAATAATAATATATGGTCCGGTGCAATAAATTGGTACATCAAATTTTAATAAAAATAAAAATATTTTTAAAATAATTTGTATTTTTTAAATATTTTATATTTTAAT